TTTGAGAGCCTAATCAGAAACTGAAAACAGGGGGGTGCATAAGCAGTTTCGTTGGGCTTGGGGGGAAACAAGGTTAAAGGCCCAAACAATTTGTTAAGGGTTAAACGTTGTTAGGCATTTGGGGAAATTGGATTAAGGTTAAGGTCTTGGCCGAAACGGCGCTCACTCTCTCGTTCGTCTTCTTCTCCGATCGTCCTCTTCGCACTGCTTGCTTCTGACTTGCCTCTGAGTCCCTTGCCACGGCCACCGGCATCTCAATATTTCTCTACCCTCCAACAAGAAGGCTTGGGGCGACAGAAACACGGTACGATTTCATCTTATTCGTTAAGGTTGTTACAAATTTGCATGTGTTGATTGTTAGTCCATTTGATTCTGATTTCGTTTTTTACATGATTATTGGAGGTATTTTTTGAGAGAAAGAGAAAGAGGGGAGTTACCTTCGGAGAAGGAGGAGGAATAGTTGAGGTGAGCTAGGAGGCCAAGACGGCGAGGGAACGCGGACGAAGTGAGCTTGCTTTGCTTGGTATCCTGGTACTCTGTTTCTTCTCTTCTTGCCTGTTACCTTGAACGTTATGTTGCCTCAAACAGTTGTATTGCCTTGATGCTATTGTTGAAAGGTTATTTTGAGGGTTTATGCAGTATGCTGGGTTTTGAATGGTTTGATACAGTAGGAAAGGTTTTAGGCCATGAAGGTTTTGATATGTGGTTTTGGTTCTGGTAATGCAGTAGGTTTATTGCAGGTTAAAGGTATGTTGGTTGTGTATGGTTGATGGAAACAGGGGAATGGGTTTTAGTTGTTAGGCCATAAGGTTTTGGTAATATGCAGGCTTATGGTTTATGACAGGTTAACGGTATGTTGGTAATGCAGTTGAACGGTTTAGGCCATATGTTTATGGTTTTTGATATATGGTTTTAATGATGTGGTAGGCAGGTTTGATAATGCAGTAGCAGGTTAAAATGACTTAGGAAATGGTTTTGGCCATATGTTTGTGGTTTCAATGATTTATCCTTTGTTGGTCTTGAAATGGTGATATTGGCTTGAGGGCTCAATCAGTTTCAGTGAGGTTTTCTATGGTTTAAACAAGTTATTGAGGTTTAGGCCATGTTGTGGTCTGATTCTACAATGGTTCTATGCAGATTGCAGGTTTATGCAGTAACAGGTTTAGGAGGGCTTGAGGAAAAAATGGTTTTTTCTTCTTGATAGCTTGGTGATAGATAGATGATGATATGTGTGTGATTTTTGTTATGTTATAACAGTCTTTTGGCCTTAGGTTTCCGTTGAGGGCTTTGGTATATTTTTTAATATATTCTTGGTACTTCTGCATCCTTACTGCTCCATATGGTTTGTCTCTATTCCTATTTCATGTTTTTACTTCCTACTGACTGTGTTACTGCAGTTTGTCTTGTATCTCTTCCTGCCTAAACCAAAACCTGCAAAACCACACTTCTATCTCTCTTCTCTCTCATAAATACCATTTTGACATTTAAATGATGTACTGTTCTATTCTGAAATTGCAAAAGTGCTGGAATATGATGAAAAGGGAATGTTATATTGCTTGCAAAATTGTTTAAACTGCATATTTTTAACTTGTCTACTGCATGGCACTGTGGGAGCCTCTTTGTATGTTTGGCCTCTTCCTATATGGGCATGTTTACGTTGCAATTTGGCTTTGAAAGTGCATATGCTGTTGATTTTTTTTGTATGCTATTTGTCAAACATTTGAATTGATGCATATCGTTTTGAACTATGCAGTGGGCTTTTGAAAATGCAATTGATTTGAAAAATGCAATTTTTGACAAAAAATGAATTTGTGCATTCATTTATAAAAATTCCTCTCTTTTTTGTGAACCGGGAGAAATCCCGTGATTTACAAAAAAGGGTAAATTGATTCCAGCCATTGCTTTTAATGATGAACATTAAATAATTTTTTTGCTTTTAATTATTTGTTCAATTCTAATTTTCTTTTAATCGTTTTGCAGGTAAAATCAAGTGAGCAGACAAAAGGCATTGGATAGAAGATTTAGAATTAGAAAACATTAGATTAGTTTTTATTTCATTTTAACTTTGTAAAATTATTATTGTAAATTCGTTGTAATAAATACAATATTTACACAATAATTGTACAATCAGAAGAAAAAATGAATAAAATTCCAATATTTGCCAATTAATTTCTTCCTTTTCTAATTATTTATTTTATCGTTTACAATTCTTTAAATCGTATAATAATTGAAAATAAATCTCAATTACTTAAATCAAGAATAATAAACAAATAAATAAATAATGTCATTGATCAATTAATAGTTTCAATTATTTAATTCATTATTCATAATTTTCTAAATTATAATAATTAAAATAGAATTTCAATTATTTAACTTAGAATGATAAATAATTAAATAATCATTATTGACCAATTAATGAACCTTTTCAAATATTTATTATATTATTCATAAGTCTTTAAATTATGTAATAACTGAGAATAAATTCAAGTTATTTAAATTTAAGATAGTGAATAATAAATAAACATATGTCTGCATGATTAATACGCCTCTTTTCTAATATTTATTTTATTATCTATACATCTTTAAATTATATGATAATTGAAAACAAATTCCAATTATTTAAATTTAAGATAATAAATAATTAATAAACAATGTTTTAGCATGAATCGATTAAATAATTTAGTGTTCAAAATAAATAGTTCTCGGCCTGAAACAAGTTATGAATTTTAAAAATCAATAGATCAAAACACTTGTAATGTAATGATGCAGGTGGGAGATGGTATCTTAGGTCAAAATTTGGGGTACAACACTACCCAACAACAAAAACACCTATATTCCCAATTTCCACAATAAACATCATACACTAAATTTTAAATTCATATGAATACATCATCATACTGCAACCAGCACAATAATATTTATACTTTATCCTACAGTTTTAACTATAATCAACTCCACAATCCAACTACAACTTTCAAGTACTGCAACAATAATTCATGTTTTTATTTGTCAGAATCATTAAGGCACCTAAAAACAATGCATCAACACTACCAAACACGCCACCATCAAGAATACGGTGAATAATAACATTCACAGTTTTGACTTTTCTTCATCTTTTTTTCTCTCTCTTCAAAACAACAATGGTAAATAATATGTAAAAATTTGGTTAATACAATATATAGCTTGGTTAATGTCATTGTTTGCATTTTCAAGTGAAGTTCTTTTGGGCACAATCTGTACATATACAAAATAAAATATTATAAAATAATTTTCATATAATCAATGTTGATTAACCCTAAATTAAAATAGCTCATCAAATCAAAAACTTAAACTAAAACATAAAGAAATTAATTTCAAAAAATCACAATATATATATATATATATATATATATATATATATATATATATATATATATATATATATATATATATATATATATATATATATATATATATATATATATATATATATATATATATATATATATATATATATATATATATATATATATATATATATATATATATATATATATATATATATATATATGAAAAACTCTGTATTGTGTTAAAAATAAAAATGCACCTTTGTTGGTTTGGAGAAAGAATTTTCATCCATTTTATTTGTGGATGTAAGCACCACTTTTGATGAACCAAATTGCTCCACATTTCATTTTAAATTATTTATTAAAATCTCTAAATTTTCATTTGAGTTTCCAAAGTTTACTACCTACACAAGTCAATAGTTGCAAAGTTAACAAATTAATAATTAAATACTTTTAATCAACATTTAATTTTGAAAAAAATGTGTTGTTTTACCTTGACTTTAAGATAGTTTTTCCCATCTTGAAAATTTTTATGCTGAATTGTAGAGGCAACAATTGAGCTAGAAGAGTTGTGAAGAGTTGAGTTAAGAAAGGTTGCTCCACTAGAATCAATACAAAATTGTTGGAGCCAATAACTTAGAGTTCCATAATTTTGATAAGAGTTGAACACAATTGCATCTGGTATCCAACTTTTTCATATATAGAAAATAAATTAAATAAATAATTTATTTCGTTATATATATAAATGATAAATCAAAATAAATGATAATAAATTCCAAAATTACTATTTATCATTTGTATTTACAAAGAGGGGTGCATAGGCAACCATGCTGACAACATCACTGTAGAAAATTGAAAAAATGATTAAAGTTTAGCTCAAAAAACATAAACTTTATAAATTAAATATCATGAAAAATGATATATATATATATATATATATATATATATATATATATATATATATATATATATATATATATATATATATATATATATATATATATATATATATATATATATATATATATATATATATATATATATATATATATATATATATATATATATATATATATATATATATATATATATATATATATATATATATATAATAAAACGTAACCTATTTTTTTCAAGTCCAATAAGAAATGAAGCTTCAGCCACAGCTGCATAAAGGCTTTCAATACCTGCATCTTGACTCCAAACAGCATACTCACTAATATATGCCTATAAAATGCTATTAATTAAACATGAGAAAAATTCCATATCAATAAGTTTTTAAATGTCTAATCTGCCTTATGAAAAACTATAATTCATTATATGTTGGATAAATGAAAAAATATATTTAATAATCAAACCTTTGGAGCGGATCGTGGTGCATTGTCGAACTTGGTATATTGGGTAAACATGTCATTAGAATTTGTATAAATCTAATAATTGAAAAAAGTATTAAAAATAATAACATGTAAGTTACTACACATAAATTCAAATTTAATAATTATAAAAAATAATAATAGTAAATAAATAAAAAAAACAAATCAACAATATTATTACATGAAAATCATAAAGATCCGCGGAATGATTTAATGGATATTAAGAACCGTCACAATTTGAGATAATCTGAATATTAAGATATATGTGTTTTATAGCTTTATAGAATTCGAGATAATTTCCTTAATAGTTATATTTACCACAATCTTCATTTCCAATTCCAACATATCTCAAATCAAATGGCTTTGGATGTCCCATGGAAGCTCTAAGAGAACCCCATTTTGATTCAACAGACCCTATAGCAAACTCAATACCATCTAGGGCTTCCTAAAAATTAATGATTCAAAAAGTATAAATAACAATAAATAAATGAATTAATTAAAATTACAAATATAACTTATATAATAAAAAACAATATTAATAAAATTATACTTGTACAAATGGTGAAATTGCAGATGTATAAATTTCATCATGATGACTAATACCATTATTAAACACCCATATTGGATATGCACCAAGATCCTCTGATAATTGTTTAATTAACAAATAAAATTAATAATTTTTAATTTGAAAATAAAAATATTTAATATTTAAAAAAAACGAATTACTTGAAGCCTTTCAAAATAGTCAAATCCATCATCGATCCATTACTTCCACATATCATTACAGTGGCCAGGTCTCTCTTCCCATAGTCCAACTGGATCTTTCCACCTAAATGCATTTTTTAGATAATTTCCTTTAGCATAACAACCACCATGTAAAAGAATATATTATATCATTGTCACTTAGTAAAAATTTTAAAAAAATAGATGGATATGAATAAAAAATTTCCATTAAAGAAACAACAGTTTGAAGTGATTTCAACTCAATAATATTGTATCATACCTGGAAACTTAAAAGTTTTTGGCTTTAAATCTGCCACCATTTGAAAAAGGTCATTTCAGAAACCATGACCCTGTGTTAAATAATGATTAATTAGATAAATTTTTATGAAAGAGAAAAAAGTTTATATAATCTAAAAATAAATAATAAATAAATAATATAAATATAACTTTATGCATAACATACCTTATATGTATCTAAAGGCATGGCTGAGATTTGATCTAACCATAATACTCCTGTTTTGGTTGTTGTTATTTGTAGATTTGAATTGTGATTAGTACTTTTGGCTTCAAGAATTGTTTTCATTTTACTCCACTTTGTAACATTAACTCTAGAAGATCTGATATTCATTGATTTATAACTCAATAATTGATTTATTTTAGTTTGATAATAATAAAATAATGAACAAGATGTTGTATCAAAAAATAAAATAAAGAAATATAATTATAACCTTATTTTGATTGAAGCTAATTTGATACCATTATCATATCCAACAAATGAAACTTGTAAATTAATTGGATCAAGTGATCTAACATAGAACACAACTTTATATTTCTTTCATGCCTCAATATTCTGATTATATAAAACATTGAAAAATATTATAAATAACATTAAATATTTTCATATGATAAATAAAATATTGTATTAATTGATACTCAGCATTCCCCAAAAATCCGAATTGGAAATACCAACACCACCACGTGGACAAAATTTTTTATGACAAAAAACATCCATATGTAATACAATTTTATTAGGCTCAAAACAAGAAGAACTCTCCATTGATATAATAATGGATGGTTGATTTTCTCCAATAATTATCCATGGATAAATATTTGAGGTCCCATTAATAGAAGTTTCTGCTTCAAAACCTGAAACATTAGTTTTCAAAAGATATAAAATAGCGAAACAAATCTAATGGCTGAAACAAATATTAAAATGGAATAAAAAATAGTAACATAAATTTTTAAAGTAAATATATAATTTTTGTATCTTATTAGGAAAATAAACTTAAAGATAAAAAATTTCATAATGACAATATATACACCTCTATTATTCACAAGTTCTGCCCACAGTTCTCCAGCTTCTGCATGATTAATCTCTTGAAAAATATATAGTACATCAATTTATTATAAAATAAAATAAAAATAGTACTTTATATGTAATATTCATAGTTATTAAAATATATTGAAAATATAATTTATTTCAAAAAATGCTCCAAAAAATGTATCTGAAATAAGCTTTCCAGAACCAGCATCAATAACTAGTTTTCGTATGATTTGACTAGCATTAACATCATGGTGGCATTTAGAAATGACAAAAAAAATACATCAAGAGAAAATAAAGGAAGTGGCAGAACTTGAGAAAGACATTGTAAATTTACAATAAATTTTGATAAATCCTTTTCACTCATATTTATGAAGGAAGAAAAATCTATAAATTGAAGATGAGTTGTTAACAACATAATCTATAATTTGGATGTTTTCTATTTCTAAATTAAGTTGTATTCCTAAATTTGATTTATATTTTTATTTTTAACCTACATTACCTTGTTAAAATATTCCCACCATACCTCATAACAGATTATTGCGAAACTCTACTAGTAAACAATTAGTGTATACTTTTTTAAATCTATTGCAAAAAAGATGTCAATGTTATTTAAGGATAAACACTATTTATAGTTTTAGAACCATGTATAATATATGTCTAGAATATACATTATACACAACATTAATTGGTACTGATACAACATAAGTGCCTATTAGCATTACCATATACATGTCCATAACTAAAATCTACATCTATATGGCACATGACTTAAAATGATGCACAAATAAAATCTAAGAACTGAGTACAATATTCGTCATTGTTCAAATTATACTGCAGAAGATCACATCATAAAAAGCATTATTAAGAAGCTCCCCCTGACATAACATGTAGATTACCTGAAAAATAATAACAATGATGTGGGTGATATAATAATCTCAGTGAGTCCCCTATCCTATGGGTCCACTCCGCTCTATCGAGTTTCTGCCTGATGTCTAATTAAAATTTTATTCACCTTCTGTTACTTCTGCATAACTCACACAATTTAACAAGGACTTGAGCAACTGAGGGATATTCAAAATGTATGGAAACATGTTACTTGAGTGCATCCACTCAAAACAATCACTATTCAGATTCACGACATATCTTTCCCTAAACTGAAACTATGTCTAGTTCAGGGCCTGGGTCATAGATGTTTGAATGATTCGACTTCTATGGTGAATATCGGGTTCCCTTATGGGACATGAACCCAATTTTAAGAACTATAACTCGTATTGGACTCGAACCTACTTTGAGTATATTTCATCGTATTGGACTGGAATCCACTTAGGTGTCCACCTTTTCCCCATGTACGCTATGGTTGGGAATCAAGCCCAATTGAGGAACGAACCATTGGTGTCACATCCCCATTTTTTACTATGCTTCCAACAAGGAATTTTAAGTTCCATTGGAGTTCACCTGAGGAAAATTCAATATAGAAACTGAGTTTCTATTTGAACATCAGAAGCTGGAGTATGGTGCTGAGATTTTGTATGAAACTCAGATTCGGGTTCAGTATAATTTGGATTCACTTGCTTATTCTTTACAAGCTTTTCAACTGGGTCAGAACCAAGTTAAATATAAGCTTAATGATCCTTCACACTTAATCAAACATTAGTATACCCTATTTTTCTTTAAGTACTTTTGTTATCATCAATACCCAAGGAGTATGAGCTCAAAGAGTGTGAATAGATTTTGTTCCAACAAACTATTTAAGAATGATTTAAATAGTTTAAAGTTCTAATATAAATATATAGGCCAATTATATATTTTTGGGAAATTGAAAATTTTTCATTGTAGAATATGAGTAGGCATGGCAATGGGGCGTGTTTAAGCATTACTAGCATCTCCCCCACTTCCACTACAACAAATAACACTTTTCATGGTGAAGCTTACACCTCGAACAATGAAAAATGAGGGTATAGGTCCTAGGAGCGTCGTGTTTTAATTTTATTTAATAAAAAACATTAGACCTTAGTTATTTAATAAAATCGAGGGAAAAATGCTTTAAGGGAGCTCGCTTCAACACCAAATTGCTGCATTTTATGTTTTTTTTATAATTGTTTTTTTAGTATTTCTCACTTGGCTCCTTTCCGAATTCCACTTTTATTTTTTTATTTGTGCCATTAGTATTTATTTACCTCGACTACAGGGTCCAACTGAGAGTTAATATATTTTTCATTAACAATTTCATAATACTAATTTCAAAATCTTTATTTAAATAATTTAACCGGTTGGTTTTTATGAAAAAATGACATGGTATATAAATTACAGAATATGGCGCTATTGTGTTTATTTATATTTTATATTTTTAATAATACTCTCATGTCGGTTTTCATGTAAAACCAACATGACGCTTATTTTCCATGAAATACTACAAACTACTATCTATTTTCGAACTTTTCATTTACCTATAAATGCTCAAGCGTTAGTTCAACACTCTTATTTCGCAAAAAACCTTAGGAGATTTTAAAGCTTATATTCATCAAAACTCTTCCAAGAAATACTCATCAAACGTCATTTTCGCAACAAGTTTGTACTTCACTTAGTTTTTCACTAAAATAATATCTTGATAATTTTCTTTAGGGTTTCTATGTTAGTTTATCTATTGATTATTTTGTTTAGTGTCTCTTGATTTTCCATTTGTTTTCACTTAAACGTTACTGTTTGATTCATCTTGATAGCCATGGTCGAATCGACAAGCACCTTCTATGCAACATCTGATACAAACTTTTTTAATACAAAATGTAAAAGAAAAACTAGATATGTCACGATGTATAAAAAGGTGGAAAAATCAAACAAAACTGGTATTCGCTGCCCGGTTAGAGTTGATGCAGAAATCGGCATGGCTCATGGTGAACATTCTGATGATTTTTTGGGTTACATTGTGTTATAATGTAGAATTAAAGTAAGTATTTTAATAAATAGTTGGCACGAAGTTGATGATAAATTGAAAGACGACATATGGATCGATATTACAATATTTATTTTATATTCTGTAATTTTTTTACACGTATATTTTTGTGCAATACTAATAACACCTCTATTGAGTAAACATAAGATGTGTTCAGTGTTACTCTAAATTATAAGTATGTGAAATAGAAAATGCTTGCTTATTATGGTGAGTGTTGGAGGAGGTTTAAGACACAGATCACCCATGATTATATTAAACATGGAGAAGATAAAGAAAAGACTCCATACGAGCTTTATTCATTTATTGATCGAGATACTTCGGAGAAGTTTGCAGAGTCTCGCACAACTCCTACCTTCTTGGAAATGTCCAAAAAGGAAAGGAAAATCGAGCTAAAAATAATTATCTACATAGGTTCTCTCGTGGAAGATATAGATGACTTGACAAAAATATGATGGAAGAAAAAGGAAAAAAAAGGGATGAAGAGCTGGGAGATTTTATAAGTCTTGATCACACTCCATCTCCACCATCATGGTAGGAGAAATGGAAGAGGGAACGTCAAAGAAAAACAGAGAGTACACATCAAATGCTACACGTCAAATGGCTCAAAGGATTGTAAGTAGATACTTTTTTCAATGATATTTATTTTAGTTAAATCAATTTGGAAAAGATGAAATTTCATGTGTTGTAGGATGATCTTGTTGAACAAACCAAAGTCGGTCTCTTTACTTAACAACATTGTCATGACATCTTGGTAGAAGCGATTGGAACCGAAGAGCATCCTAGGCGTGTCCATAGTCTTGGTAGAGGCACTGGCTTCAAGGTATATGTCGGACTCTCTAAATCATCTAGAGAGAAAATTAGTAATAGAAACATCGAAGAGATTGTCGTTATTGAGTTGGGGAATGAAAGGGAGAAGAGGTAGGATGACCATGATAAGTTCTTGGAGGATGATATAGAGAGCTAGTTGCATAATGTGCATGAGAAGGTCTTGGAGAAGAAGAGAGAGAGAGAGAGGTTGTTGCAGAAGGTGCGGAAGAAGTTCTTGGAGGAGGAGAGAGATAAGTTATTGCATACGGTGCGGGATAGTGTCCATAAGGAGTAAAAGGAGCGATAGAGGATGGATAAGGAGAAGGTGTATGAGAAGTGTCCTCATGATGTTCTTGATGTATAAATTATGTGTTGTTGTTATTATTGAATGCATATTTCAATTATGGAATGAAATTATGTTTTTTTTTTATGATTCATAAATTGAGTTCATTGGGTATATTCGGCCACACATATTAAAATCACTTGGAAATTCGAGAGAATGTAGTTTAGAAAGTTACGAGCGGTACAAGCGCGACACTTAGTTTTTCTGCCAACTAAGCCAGTGTTGAACCCTCACCTCCAAATCTATATAGCATTCAAAGACTAGAAATTATGATGCCGAGTATTGAAACCACATGCACAAGTATTAAATTAAGTCATGATCCACGACAATGCTTTATACTTAACAAGAATTTTATACATGAATTTTTGAAGGGAGATGAGTAACTAGACAATTCCATATTGCAAATATGGAGCTCGTAAGTATAGTTTTATGTTGATTTCTCTTTATATTCATACGTTCTTGTACTTTAACATAAATATTTGACCTTACATGTACATCCATGATGTATGTGTTGAAAGGAAGCTTCTAAACAAGTATTGTATCTTAGATATTGTGAAGATTTCTCTTACTCAAGATTCGCAAGGACACACAATCAATATTTACTTACAAGAGAAGTTGATGGAGAAAGGGAACATCAAATATTGTCACTTTTCCTCATTTTACTGTGAGTAAATATATATTAATTTGTGTTTTCATTTATAAATCAATCTTTTATCCATATTATTAGTTATTCTGAACTTTTATGAAGCCAACATTGGCAACTACTTATTATATGTCCCAAGAAAAATACTATAGTTGTGTTTTTCTCGTTGTACTCTGGACTACCCGAACCCACGACTAAAGCTTTGGATGGGTAAGTGGTATTATATTTAATATCAAATTTAACTTTATAATTGAAAAGTTTTTATTCATGTTTAATTTTAATCAACGTGTGTAGAGAAATAGAGGAATTTAATGCGCGCAAAAGAAATCTAATTGCTAAAAGGCCAGTCTCTGTTTACCAAAGAGTAAGTATATTACTTGTGCTTTTTGACATTTTATTATTTGTGTGTATCAGTGTGACATAAATAAATGAAAATTATTTGTACTGACAAAAAAAATCGACTACCATTCTTGTGGATATTACGTTATGAGATACATGATCCATATTGTCTCTGGAAGCATTACACAAGGATGAGTGGAGAATAAGGTATTAGCTTAATCCATATAAATATACATATGCA